ATAAGAGTGTGACTATGTTGGCCACGCTAGTCTCAAACTCCTGGCCTCAAGTAATCAGATCACCTCAGCCTCCCAAAGAGCTGGGATTATAGGCATGAGCTACCACGCCCAGCCTATTATATGGAATATTTTCAAAAGATTACTTGAACTTTTAAATAGTCACACTGATTCCATTCACTTGACAAAAAAATTTTATCACACACAAACTGAAGCACTGCAGAAACTAATATTCAGCATAGTCAAGGAACGAAAATCTTAGAGTGATCTGGTATTTTGAATTAAAAAGTAGTTAACGTAACACCTTACCTGAAAGAACTATTTTCAGAAGATTAGCAGAGAATACAGCTGTCCCTCCACATCACTGGGGTCCACATCAGTGGATTAGATCAATCTCAGATAAAAGATATTCACAGGAAAAAAAATTCCACAAAACTCCAAAGAGCAAAACTTGAATGTGCCCTGTGCAAAGTACTGTATTGAATCCACACGAAGGAAGTGATGTGCAGGCAGTGTATTAGGTATTATAAACAATCCCCAGATGACTTAAAGCAAGGGTCCTCAACCCCTAGGCCACAGACTGGTAATGGTCTGAGGCCTGTTAGGAACAGGTCTGCACAGCAGGAGGTGAGTGGTGGGCTAGCAAGCATTACCACCTGAGCTCCACCTCCTCTCGGATCAACAGCAGCATTAGATTCCCATAGGATCGCGAACCATGTTGTGAGCTTCACATGCAAGGGACCTAGGTAGCACGCTTCTTATGAGACTCTAATGCCTGATAATCTGTCAGTGTTTCCAATCACACCCAGATGAGACCATCTAGTTGAAGGAAAATAAGCTCAGGAATCCCACTGATTCTACATTACGGTGAGTTGTATAATTATTTTGGGAGGCTGAGGTGTGAGAACTGCTCGAACCTGAGAGGTGGCAGTTGCAGTGGGCCAAGATCGTGCCACTGCTCTCCAGCCTGGAGGACAGAGCAAGACTCTGTTTCAAATTTTAAAAAAGGAAAAAAAAAAAAAGAAAAAGTACATGTCTACACTTTATAATAAAAAAATATCCTTAAGGCCAGCTGCGATGGCTCACATCTGTAACCCCAGCACTTTAGGAGGCCGAGGCAGGCAGATCACTTGAGGTCAGGGGTTCCAGACCAGCCTGAATAACCACCATCTCTACTAAAAATCCAAAAATTGACCAGGCATTGTGGTGTGTGCCTGTAACCCCAGCTACTACTGGGAAGGATGAGGTAGGATAATTGCTTGAACACGAACTTGAAGGCGCAGGAATCAGGGCAGGGCAGAGGTTGCAGTGAGTCAAGATCGTACCACTGTACTCCAGCCTGGGTGATGGAGTGAGATTAAGTCTCAAAAAAAAATACAAATATATACTTAATAGCAGGTGGTGAAATTTCAGCGAGTCAAACTATGATTTAACTGTCCAGCCCCTAAACTGAAGTTCTTTCTCCTCCTCTTTGTTTAGGAGCCAAGTGTTGCCATTTACTATGCTTCAATGAGTCATACACAGGAAACGGCCCAGGAAAACTTTCATATGACAAGAATTGTAGGATCTGAAAAGGATCAGGATATTGACTGAACACCTTCATTTTATAGATGGGGAAAGTGAAGACAACTCAACAAGGTAAGTGACCTGCCCTGATTGGTGGCAGAGCCTGGCCTAAAACTCAAGTCTTAATTACCACAGCAGCAGGCAAACCTGGCAGAGGGCCAAATACAGAAGCGATTCTAACAGTCTGGGAGACAGGCAAACCAGTAAATAGCAGACACTTGCTTACCTGTTTGGATCCCTGTTTCTTGCTCTAGCTGAAGGTAGAGTTTGTTTGAGTAGTCTGCCATCTTCTGTTCAATGGTCAAATGCCTGGCAGTGCTCAGGATGCCAGCACAGAACCTGGTAGAGCCAGCAGCCAGCCTGCAGGATGGATGCAAAATGCTATTAGGTAGGTTCATCTATCTGTGAAAACAAGGTCAAGGTTTCTCACTATACTACTGTTTCTAATGCCAAAAGATAGAAAGAAGCTGGGCACAGTGGCGCACACTTATAATCCCAGCACTTTAGGAGGCCAAGGTAGGAGGATTGTTTAACGACAGGGGTTTGAGACCAGCCTGGTCAACATAGGGAAATCCCATCTCTACCAACAACAAAAAAATTAGCCAGGTGTGGTGGCACATGCCTGTAGTCCCAGCTACGTGGGAGGCTGAGGCCAGAGGATCCCTTGAGTCCACAGGGTAGAGGCTACAGTGAGCTATGATCACCCCACTATACTCCAGCTTGGGCAACAGACTGAGAAAAATATTCATTGACATGGGACAGATTTAAAATTTTTGGAGAGTTTAGGCCAGGCACAGTGGCGAATGCCTATAATCCCAGCACTTTTAGGGGCTGAGGTGGGAGGATCACTTGAGGACAGGAGTTCAAGACTGGCCTGGGCAACAGAGCCAGACCCTGTCTCTACGAAAAAAAAAATATAAATATATCTAGGCTACTTGGGATGGTGAGGCAGGAGAATCCCCTGATCCTAGAAGTTTGAGGCTGCAGTGAGCTAGGACTGTGCTACTCCACTTCAGACTAAGCAACACAACAAGACTTGATCATAAAATAAATAAAATAAAAAATTTGGAGTTCATCTATACAATGGAATACTATGCAGCTATAAAAAAAATGAGAGGCTGGGCAAGGTGGCTCACATCTATAATCTCAGCACTTTGGGAGGCTGAGGTAGGGAGATCACGAGGTCAGGAGTTCAAGACCAGCCTGGCCAATATAGTGAAACTCCATCTCTACTAAAAATACAAAAATTAGCCAGGCATGGTGGCACGCACCTGTGGTTCCAGGTACTCGGAAAGCTGAGGCAGGAGAATCACTTGAACCTAGGAAGTGGAGGTTGCAGTGAGCCAAAATTGCACCACTGCAATCCAGTCTGACAGAAAAAGTCAGATTGAGAAGGTATCTTTTTCTTGTACACCCTTTTACATATTTTCTTTTTATTTTTGGTGGGGAGTGCGGGGGGGGGGCACAGTTTTGCTCTTGTCACTCAACTGGAGTGCAATGGCATGATCTTGGCTTACTGCAACTTCCACCTCCTGGGTTCAAGGGATTCTCATGCCCCAGCCTCCTAAGTAGCTGAGATTATAGGCACCTGCTATGGTGCCTGGCCTCTTTTTTGTTTTGTTTTGGAGATGGAGTTTCACTCTTGTTGCCTACAGTGGAGTGTAATGGTGCAATCTTGGCTCACCACAATCTCTGCCTCCTGGGTTCCGAGTTCAGGAGATTCTCCTGTCTCAGCCTCCCAAGCAGCTGGGATTATAGGCATATGCCACCATGCCCAGCTAAATCTGTATTTTTAGTAAAGACGGAGTTTCTCCATGTTGGTCGGACTGGTCTCAAACTTCTGACCTCAGGTGATCCTCCCACCTCGGCCTCCTAAAGTGCTGGGATTGCAGGTGTGAGATACCACGCATGGCCAATTTTTGTATTTTTAGTAGAGACAGGGTTTCGCCATGTTGGCCAGGCTGGTTTTAAATTCTGACCTCAGGTGATCCACCCACCTTGGCCTCCCAAAGTGCTGGGATTATACACATGAGCCACCATGCCCAGCCTCTTTTACATATTTTCAATTTTGAATCACATACATTGCCTATTCAAAAGTACATAAACTTTAAATTGGAAAAAAAGTTCTCTAATTTATGGTAGCAACATAATGTAAAGAGCTTCAGTAATGCTAGGGCCCAATACAGACAGGGTTTTGCCATGTTGGCCAGGCTAGTCTCCAACTCCTGACTTCAGGTGATCCATCTGCCTCAGACTCCCAAAGTGCTGGGATTACAGGCATGAGCCACCGCGCCTGGCTGAGGCATAATTTTTTTTTTTTTTTTGAGACCAAGTCTTGCTCTGTCACCCAGGCTGGAGTGCAGTGGCACAATCTCGACTCACTGCAACCTTCACCTCCTGGGTTCAAGCGATTTTCCTGCCTCAGCCTCCTGCGTAGCTGGGATTACAGGCGCACACAATCACTCCCAGTTAACTTTTGTATTTTTAGTAGGAACAGGCCTCTACTATGTTGGCCAGGCTGGTCTCAAAACTCCTGACGTCAGGTGATCCACCTGCCCTGGCCTTCCAAACTGCTGGGATTACAGGCGTGAGTGACTATGCCTGGGCAGCATAAATATTTTTAAGTACGAGACTCAAACAGTTTGCCTTATGTCAATTATAAGGCATTATATAATCTTGAAGCAACAAATTAAACCAGAAACGAACCTCCCTAGGGTCTCCCACTTACGAACATTTACACTGAAATTAGTTTATCATTTTTTGTGGAAATACCTGATAATTAAATTTAAAAGAATTTCAATAAATAGGAGAAAGATTTTGACATCAAGGAAACATTATGAGGCCAGGTGCAGTGGCCCGTATCTGTAACCCCAAAAGTCTGGGAGGCTGAGGTGACTGGATTGCTTGGGCCCAGGAGTTTCAGACCTGCCTGGTCAACATGGTGAAATCACGTATCTACAAAAAATACAAAAAATTAGCCAGGCATGGCAGTACGTGCCTGTGGTCCCAGCTACTCACAAGGCTGTGGTGGGAGGATCACTTGAGCCCAAGAGGTAGAGGTTATAGTGAGCTGAGATCGAACCACTGCACTCCAGCCTGAGTGAAAGCACGAGACCATCTCAAAAACATTAACACACACAAAAACTCACTTTTGCTCTTAAAAGTATCCACTGCAGCCGGGCGCGTTGGCTTACGCCTGTAATCCTAGCATTTTGGGAGGCTGAGGTGGGCGGATCACCTGAGGTCAGGAGTTCAAGACCGGCCTGACCAATATGTTGGGGGAAAAAAAAAAAAGTATCCACTGCAGGCTGGGTATCGTGGTTCACGCCTGTAATCCCAGCACTTTAGTAGGCTGAGGCACGAGGATCAGATGAAGTCAGGAGTTTGAGACCTGCCTGGCCAACATGGTGAAAGCCTGTCTCTACTAAAAATATAAAAATTAGCCAGGCATGGTGGCACGGGCCTGTAATCCCAGTCACTTCACTTGGGAGTCTGGGGCAGGAGAATCACTGGGACCCAGGAGGCAGAGGTTGCGGTGACCTGAGATCACATCACTGTACTCCAGCTTGGGTGACAGAAAAAGATTCTGTCTCAAAAAAAAAAAAAAAAAAGTATCCACTGCATAAAATAGAAATCCATGAATCTAAACTGATATGTCTATGTGTATATATATTCAGATATATAATTGAGTAAATAAATGGGGGTGAACGAAATCTCTTTCTGGCAGCAATGTGTCAACTATAATAAATGCAGAAGGATGACAGAAAATCAACATTTGTCAACCATCATGGTGGTGGCTGACTCAGGAAACAGTTGTCAATGGATATTAAGCCCAGTAGGTGGAGGTCTGATATGAACAGGATATTGACATAATCTGAGAATCCATCTCTCCTCACAGGGCACTGGCCTGTCACAAGGGAAGAAAACAAGGACTCTGTGCTAGAGATTCTTAGAGGACACCAATATATCTGGATGATCAGGGTTATCACCACCAGAAGTAAGACAGTATAGCCATGCACCCTCTTATGCGGTGCACTGTAGAGAGTCCAGCCTAATTTCTGTGGTCTTACTGCCAAAAATGTATGGGCTGGTTATGATGATAGAGACACAACTCTGTGAACAGACTTGGCACTTAACAAGGATGAGTGGCATGGTATGCAAATTGTATCTCAAAACAGTGGTGTTTATAAAAGTCTCTGACCTGAGTCTGATCATAAAAAATCAGCCTGAGGCCAGGCGCGGTGGCTCAAGCCTGTAATCCCAGCATTTTGGGAGGCCGAGGCGGGTGGATCACGAGGTCAAGAGATCGAGACCATCCTGGTCAACGTGGTGAAACCCCGTCTCTACTAAAAATACAAAAAAATTAGCTGGGCATGGTGGTGCGTACCTGTAATCCCAGCTACTGAGGAGGTTGAGGCAGGAGAATTGCCTGAACCCAGGAGGCG